CAACTCCCAGAATGCCCCAGCCAGCTGGCTGGGGCATTCTGGGAGTTGAAGTTCTCCAGGCTTAAAGTTGCCAAGGTTGGAGACCCCTGCGTTAGAGCGTTCGTTTATTGGTGGATTAGGAGATTGCTTTTCTCTTTTTAAAAGCTGCAACACCCGGCCAGGTCGCTTGCCACATACTTGGCGGTTGCGCGCAAGCGCAATAGAGCTCAAGCTAAGGAGCCCTTTGACCAGCCGCGACATCCTTGCCAACTTTTGCCCTTAAGCCCTAGCAGTGCCTAAAGCTGGCGCGAGAGGGGAGGGAGGGGGGGAGGAAAGTCACGGCTTGGGTTATTACTTTGCGCGCTCCCGTTTGGCCCCTTCAGTTTGAGGGCATCGCGGCCGCAGCTCAGGACCCGCCGAAGCCGAGCCGCAGAAGACTTCGCCGGGACTGCAGTCCCTTCAACGCGGCTCCTTTCCCTAGAGGCAGCCGCAGCAGCACCGGCTCTGCCAAGAGCCTTCGCAGAAGCGCGAGGACAGGACGCAGAGCGAGCTGCCGGGCAAGGGACAGAATCGTCAGCTCCCCCTTTTCCAATGAGAAACCCCCCGTCTCCGTCTCCGCCGCCGGCGTCTCCCAGGTCCGGAGGACAAGGGAGCCTCGCAGTCGCCGCTGCCGCAGAGCTCAGCCAGCCGACCCCCAAAACCAAAAAACGTTCCCTCCCACGCGAAAGTTCAGCCTTTGCGCGGACAGAGGGGACGCGGAAGGCCACCTCCAGCACTCCCCCCCTCCCAGGGTCGGGCCCCAACCCCCAGTTCCCCCCCCCCCCCTTCCTTCCCCGCTTGCACCCACCGCGTCTCAGCCCACGAAGGGGCCAGAGAATTGAAGGGGAAGCCAGAACATCCCTCCTCTCCCCCATCCCTTTGCAGCCCAGGGGTAACCAAAAGCACTCACCTATCGCGCCCGGAGCTGCTCTTCAAAGCGCAGCTCCAGCACAACTTGGTTTATCTTCAGTAGCTACTGCAGGACGCTTCGCTCAGCGCCGACTTCGGAGCTGGTGCGTTGAGCCTATGCGCGCACTCGGAGCGCTCTCTCTCTCTCTCTCTCGCACACACACTCCTTTCCCTCCTCCCTTTCCTTTTGGTCCGTTTTCTGCCTAGTGCGCGTGCTCAATCCCGGCCGGCCACTGGAAGGGAGTACCTTTTCTTGTGCCTTGAGGGACTGACCACACCTGCCTTTCCCGGTGACGTCACGGCATTCCGCGCTACCTGGCCCAACCAGAAGCGGGAGGGGAGGGGAGTTGTCTTTTGCGCCAACTGAAGGCTTTACAGTCACAGAGACGTTATTGAGGCAGAAAGCAATTCCTATGGCTTGCCAGTTTGGTGAGGCTGTCGCGGGCCAGATTTAAATGCTTCCTGTTAAATTATACGTGAAGGACTTACGTTGGAGAAAAAGCTGCAGGTTTGTTTGTTTGTTTCTTCCCTACGCGGGGTTTTGTTCTCGCTTCTCTTATTTGAATAATACATGATACTAGAAACGAAGCAGCGGAAAGCTTCAGTACTGTACAGGCTCTCATCCTGAAAAAGAACAGTGGCAACTCCACCAGTTTGGATTTAGGAAATACAAACCCTTTAGCTCCAAGGCATAGTTTATTTTAAAAGGAACTCTCCTTCATAAGGAAAATAAACATAAACATGGTAAACTAAGTCACCAAAGTTTAAAGGCACAGTAAGCATAGTAAAGCACTCTGCTGTAAAAGAAAGCAAATATATGCTGAACTTTCTTACCATGCAAAATTTGATGTTTTCCTAGAAGTAAATCGGTGTAGAGGCATTTGACATCAATAAAGCTTGCTCCATTTTCTGCTTGCAGCCTTCCAGAAACACTCCGACTACATCCTCTTACAAAGTGTTACAACAGCCTGCTTTAGTGTTCCTTCAGTCTTGGAAGCTAATTCTTCTTAGCAATTTTCTAGGATTTAATTTCCAGAAAAGTTTAGTGATCATATCTTTATATTATCGATTTATTTGGTACCTCCACATCATTTTTTTTACATCATTCTCCACTGCCTTGTTTTTTTTATCATGCCCATCTTTGATAAAGGTTTCCCTTTTATTTCTGGAATCTGTTTGGACCTTGTTCTTCCCATTTCATTGTTACTTTCAATTTCTTTGCACTCCTGATTCATAACTACAAATTTCTTCTTGTTGTTTCTTCCAGCTACCTCCATGTAATTTCTTCCTGCTTTTTTTCTGGCACTCAACATCAATTTGGGCAAATTTTCTTATGCTTTTTGCTTTCTTTAGTAGTTTCAATATACAGTAACTGTATCAGTTAAAAGTCTTTTTGACGCCCTGTTGCTTTCTGCATTTTAAGATAGAGGTTTCTTTTGCTTCATCTCTGACCATATGAATTTTGCAATGACTGGGGTACTCTGTTTATTAAATATAATCCATTAAATTTATTGCTGATCTTTACCACATGACCATGTAGACTGTACCTTAATGAGCCAGTTGTTTTCTTGAAGTTATAGTTTTGAAAGAGGAATTCACAAACTGGGCTGCAGTAAGTTAAAATCTTGGTTTTGCCAGCTGACTAAAGCTTCAGCATCTTTGCTTGCAAACTCAAAAGTATATAATCCGCTTGATTGATCAGTTTGATCTAGCCAAAGAGGTTCATGTATAGATTCATCATTTTAGGTTATTGGAAAAAGGTATTTATTGTAAAATGGATTTTTCTCTGGGAAACTTTTAATCTGTCTCTTACTTATTTTCATACACTAAAGCCAAATGTTTACATTCTTCCAGATGCTACTTTACTTGTAACTTTTTCCTATTATTCCTAATATCCGTTTTGATAACATCAATGTTGCCTTGCACCATCACTCTTATATTCCACATTATAATTTTATACATATCTTTGCAGCATTGAACTTTTGCTTTTGGCCTCATCTGGCATTGGCTGCTTTTTCACCTTTAATCCAGCCACATTGTAACAGATAACAGATAATCAGAGTTGGAAGGGACTTTATAGGTCATCTAGTCCAACCCCCCACCCAAGTGAGAGACCCTACACCATATCTGACAAATGGCAGTCCAATCTCTTCTTGAAAGTCTCCAGTGATAGTGCTTCCACAGCTTCCGAGGGCAAGCTGTTGATTGTTCTCACTGTCAGAAAGTTTCTCCTTATTTCCAGGTTAAATCTCTCCTTGTTCAGTTTCCTTCCATTATTCCTTGTCTGGCCTACAGGCGCTTTAGAAAATAGCTTGACCCCTTCCTCTCTGTGGCAGCCCCTCAAATATTGGAAGACTGCTATCATGTCTCCCCTGGTCCTTCACTAGACTAGACATGCCCAGTTCCTGTAATTGTTCTTCATATGTTTTAGTCTCCAGTGCCCTAATCATCCTGGTTGCTCTTCTCTATACTTTTTATAGAGTCTCAACATCTTTTTTTATAAAGTGGTGAACAAAACTGGATGCAGTACTCCAGGTGTGGTCTTACTAAGGCTTTATAGAGTGGTATTAGTATTTCACTTGATTTTGATTGAATCCAAGGCTATTTTTATTTGCCCTCTTCTTCTAGTTTATTATATGCCTTGCAACCTAGCAGGCTCTTCTTCAAAATACAATGGCGACATAATTCCTGTTGCATACATACCTTTAATTTCCTTGACAAAAATACTGGAGTGACCTACCATTTCTTTTCCACAGGATTATATTTAGTCTGTCCACTCTTTTATGACCCACTCATCATGGGTGACTCTCCAGGAAGTGTTCACTCCCAAAGTATAGTCCAGCATTACTGGAACACACAAGTTCCTTTACCACAACAAAATAACGAGCCATAAAGGAATTGTAAATACCTCTCTTGCTATCATAAAATTTATTCGAATACTTAGCTGGAATATATTTTAATGCAGTTTTTAACAAGCTGTTTACTACAAGATCTAGATTCCACATAAAATTATTCATACAGAAGATTATTACCTGGATTTACAAAAAAATGAATGCAGTGTTGAACACCTTAGGGGGCAGGGAATCATCATATCAATTAACCCAGATGCTGGATTCTTACACATTTCAAACTGAAACTTGAGCTATAGTTGCTTCAATGTTGCTTTCAAGCAGTATGAAAGATAGACCCAGTAAACAAAAATAGAGGTACAAAAGCATTTCCTTTATATCAAAATGTAAATAACAGTATGCTTCTTAGTCATGCATTTAGCATTTTTTCTAAATACCACTTCTATCACATTATTATTTGACTTGGTATCAATATTTGGTTGTTTTCATTGCTGCTTCATTCAAGATTTTAGAGAAACAAACCTTGGGAAGACAGGTTGGGTATCTCTGTGCTAGGATGTCATAAAAAAGCACATTATGGCAACCATGCCAGATCTATAAACCATATATTCTTATTGGCTTATAAATTTGATTTGTTAAGGGGGAAACAAGCCAGAAAGGAATCAAGGGTTTCCTTGGGTTTGTTTAACTACAGTTACTGATAGGAAAAACTCCCGAGTTTCTTGCTATGATTAAACCATAATTTTAGGCAAATTTCTCAATCTCAGCAACTTTAGGGTGGGTGGAATTCAACTCCAAGAATTTTTCAGCCAGCATGATAGCTTTTCCCAGATCAATAAGTATGAAATTTCAAATTCTCCCTAAAAACAAACCCTACGGAATGGATTCCAGTGCATGGGAATTTAAATGATTTTTTAAAAAGAATGCTTAGTTTCTAGTTTTCAGTTCTATAGCACTATTATTTTATTATCTCCAATCTACATTTAGAGAGTTTGAAACAACACAAACCAGACAAACCTGTTTTCTGGAGTGACAAGTAAAATAAGCATTTACTGTATACCCCTTTCCCTTCTAATATATCTCCAGTTCACTGAGAAAAAATAATAACCTCTTTCAAGTTCCTGCCTGTCTTCTAAAACAGTGGTCACCAACTGGTGGGCTGTGGCCCACTGATGGTCTGTGAGAAAATGCTGGTGGTCTGCAGAGAAATGTCACCCCCCCCCCCAAGCACCCTCCAAAGCAATTAATCCAGGCTGCACAGGAAGACAAGGCTGCACCACTCACATGGCCTGCAGGAACCCTCCCTGTCCACTCACTCCTTACCTGGAAAACTTGCCTGCTAAGTTGCTATTTTCCTTTTTTTCCCTGACCATCAGCTGTTCTGCTGTGCCAGGAAATTTAGATTAGCTAGAAAGCAGGATATCGTTGGATTTCTTGCTTTCTAGCTAATCTTTAGATCTTCGGCTCTACAGAGCCAAACCTTCCTTAGGACTGAAGCTTCTATTATTCAGTGCAGGTAGCCGATTGCAGATAGATAGATCTCTAAGTGAATCTGTAATTCTGTGAGCAACTCAATCTGCCTGCCTGCTTTGCCTGGTTTTGGGTAAAAGTTGCTCTTTTTAAAAAAATAAATTCAATATTTACATACATAGTGAGTTGTGAGTTAATTTTATGAGTTTGCTTGCAAGCAAATTTTATGTGACAGACTCGGAGCCAATTGCAGAATCATAGATCTCTAAGTTAATCTGTGATTCTATGAGCAACTCAGTCTACCTGCCTGCTTTGCCTGATTTGGGGTAAAAGTTGCTCTTTTTTAAATTAAAAATTCAATAAATATAATATTTACATACAAGCCATGCCCAGCCAGTCACATGACCCCCCCAAGCCACATCCACAAATTAGGCTACACCCACAGAACTAGTT